TATATAATAGGCATCACGTTTGTCAACATAACAACAGTCAGTGCACTTTAGAATATGTGAAATGCTTTGTCACATTAAAGAGATGGGATAAGGAACTTTATGAGTAGAAATGTTTCTCCCTTAGGGGTCAGTTTATTTTAAATAGATTAGTGGCTGTTAAAACTCAAACAGAGCAACATCACACGAATCCATTAATCAATCCAGTATATCTGTCCAGCTGAAACTCAGCCACAAGGCCATACACCTTTACAAATATCTCTCTGATGGCCTTGCTCTTGTGGTTATGTTTGCTGACCTCAGAAGGAGTACAAGAAAGTGTAGTGATTGTAACAAGGTCAGCGAGTTGGACCTAATAGAATATGAGTTCCCTGATTGGGGCTGTTAACCTGGTCCAATTTGTGAGTCCTGGCTGACAGATATAAACAGGTGTTTTGTTCATTTTGAGAGCTGGCTCTGTGGAAGCCTGACTAGTGTCACGTACTATGCACATGTAAATAAAGGGTGGGTTGGAGATGGGATACCAGCCTCTGTGGAGTTATTTCAGAATGGTAAAGATAGGTGGAGCAGCTTTCCAAAGGTGGATACATAAAATGACCTACAGAGATCACATAACCTGAAGTGAATCAGACACTTCTCCAGGAGTGATTTTAAAAAATTGCATTTTTACAACAATTCCAAAACCATCTGATATCTCAAAATGCCTCACAGCCAATTAAGCAATTCTTGAAATGCACACACTGCTATAATGTAGAATGAACGCAACAGTCTAGCCAGTGATGCCCTCATCCTGTGAATGAATAAAGGAAAAAAAAATGTTCTATGGACCTGGGTTTAAATCTCACCACAATAGATGGTGAAATTTGACTTCATTTGAAAAGAAAAATCTGAAATTTATGACCATGAATCCATTGTCAATTTTGGAAAAACCCATCTGGTTCACTAATGCCTGTTAGGGAAGGAAACTACCATCCTTACCCTGTCTGACCTACATGTGGTTCCAGAACAACAGCAATGTAAGTTGACTCTTCAGTTAGGGTTGGGCAATAAATGCTGCCCCAGTCAGTGATGCCCTCATCCCTTGAATGAATAAAAAAATTTGAAGTTTAATGTCTTTTAAGAGCTGAAGCAGTATTTTACCCTAATGATGCAATCTCCAATACAGAATCCTATCAATAATCTGGACCTGATACTGAAAAATTCTTCTGTCAAAACATACTTCAAAAGTATATACCTACTGGGTTTTTACAAGCTCCTGCTTAAACACAATAAAGAAAAATACTAGTAATGATGTTCCAGTAATAGAAATGCGTGAAAGTCTTGCTGGATTTCTTCCAATATTTACCTCAAAAGCTGCAAAATTATAACTGTTTTAAATCTTAAAATCTAGGACAGCAGCAGCTGGAAACAATTCCAAACCTATAATTTCAAACCCAGATTCTAATACTATTTCTAAATGACTTAAAGCCTTGACATTTTTTGGTTGGATGCTGTGTCTGTTATTTGAAATAAGGACCTTTGGAATGAACTGTACCTTTGTAGACCCTCCCAAGTGTTTTATTCCACATATTTATAGCAATGCACATAAACCAGTTGACCTTGACGTGTTTAGGAACAACTTTGTAGGAATTTCATGACACACAGAGATCATTCACCCTTTTGTACATGTCAAGTAAGAGATATCTAGCCTAATTTTGCTTTCTAGCTCTTGGTCAGTAGCTCTGAAGGTCATATAAGTCAAGCATATATCCAAGTTTTTCTTAAATGAGATGAGGGTTTCTGCCTCCAACAGTGAGTTTAAGACCTCCACTACCCTTCAGGTGAAAATAATTCTCCTGAAGACAAAGAGCCCTAGAGTCTTTTAGCCCAGAAACAGGCCCTTCAGCCTATCATGGTTATACTGGTCATCATGCACCTATCTAATCCAGTCCCATTTTCCAGCACTTGGCACATAGTTTTGTATGCTATGGAGATCCAAGAGATCTTCTAAATATTTCTTAAATGTTGTGATGGTTCCTGTCTCTATCACCCTTTCAGGAAGTAAGTTCTAGATACTCACCACCCTCTGGGTGAAAAATGTCTCTCTTAAGTCCCCTCTAAGCACGTTCACTTTACCTTAAATCTAATATAACAATAATTATTGATCAATCTACAATGGGGAAAAGTTTCTTCCTATCTACCCTATCTACGTCCCTCATAATTTTGTCCACCTCAATCAGGTCCCCATCAGCCTTCTCTGCTCTAAGGAAAACAGATCCAACATATCTTCATTGCTGAATCACTCCAGCCCAGGCAACATCCTGGTGAATGTCCTCTTCACCTTGTCCTGTGCATTCACACCCTTCCTGTAGTGTGGTGACCACATCTGCACACTGTACTCCAGCTGTGGCCTAACTAATGCCCTATGCAGCTCCATTGTAACCCCATAGCTCTTGCACTCAATGCCTCGATTAATAAAGGCTATATCCTATATTCCTTCTTAACCACCTTATCCACCTGTCCTGTTGCCCTGAAGAATTTATGGGCATGCATACCAAGGTCCCTCTGATCCTCTGTACTTCCCAGGGTCCTGCCATTCATTGTGTATTCCTTTGCCTTGTTCATCTCCCTAAATGAATCACCTCACATTTTTCAGGATTAAATTCCATTTGCCCTTGTTCTGATCATCCGACTAGTCTATATGAAGCTTTCCTCCTCACTATTCACTATATCACTAATGTTTGTGTAAAAATCGAGAGTTTTGAGGAAGAGTCAGTTGACCTGAAACGTTAACCACGGTTTCTCTTCACACACGCTGCCTGACCTGCTGGGCTTTTCCAGCAATTTCTTTTTTTGTCACCAATACCCGTGTCACCTATGAATTTGCTGTTCAAACCTCCTACATTCATATCTGGACAATTTAGGAATATACAAACAGAACCAGAGTAGGATGGGTGTTCAGAAATGCCAATATTCGACTAAATTACCAAAACTGGGCTGAACAATGACTTTCTATGTTGTAGCCTCTTTGAAATTCGATGTAATATACTTTTCTCAACTCAGACATCTCTTCCTCCCTTTAAGGACCAGGGACTGTCACGATTGACCAGCTCTTGCTCCTTAATTTGCTTAAAATCTCTCTATAAATTTCCTTTGCATTGCAAGGCTGCCACCAACTGAGCTTACAGTTGACGCCGAGGGATGCAGCGGTGGAAAAGATGTGAACCTGTTCAAACGTCAAAGTGCTGCAAATTTTTCCGAAACACCGCTCTCTCCAAAGGTATGAATTTCAAAGACGCTCCCAGCTTCGATTGCTTTACTATTCCAGTCGAATTGCATTTAATCTGAGGGCTGCGAGATGGCGTCTGCTCAAAACTGCAATAAAACTGCCCACGCACGGGTCACCAATACTGTCTCCGAGAGACAACAGCGAATCGTGGGCCACCAGGGTCAACGAAACGGCACAAAGAACATTTCATTACCGGTAACCAGAATGTTTTCAATACCAGCATTCACTATAATGCCTTCAACTCCAGTGAAGAAGGGAACCATTTCCACTCCAGAACTGAAGAAGGGTCTCTGGACGCCAAAATGTTAACTCTGCTTTCTCTCCACAGACCTGAAGAGTTTCTCCAACAATTTTTGTTTTTTTTTAATGCCGGCACTCTTAATGTTCTATCTTAATGTTATTTCTAATAACAAATTGACCGTCGGAATACCGTTTTATTTAGAAATCATGAAACGGACAGGACAAACTGAAATTAAAACAGAGTGCCGGAGAAACTCAGCAGCTCTGGCAACATCTGCGGAGAGAGAAAACAGGAGTTAACGTTTCCAATCTGAAGAAGGGTCCTGACCCAACGTCAACTTTTCTGCTCCTCTGATGCTGCTTGGCCTGCTGTGTTGTCTCCAGTCTGATATGACCTTTTTGTTTCAGAATCATCTCTGTTCCATTTACAATGGACTCTAAACGTTAATTCTGTCCCCGTCTCCACAGACTTGCTGAGCGTTTGCAACGTTTTCTGTTGTTATTTGGGGTCCCCAGTATTCGTAGTATTTTATTTTGTTTAATGAGCACTGAGAGACAGAATGAAAAAAATGCTGAAAATACAAGACTGTCACAGAAGGAATGGGAATTAGGTGAAGGGATGGAATAGTACACGCTGAAGTGATCTTCGTGGAAATGTCCCGTGTTAAATATTGATCGTCATTGCTGAATGTGCCGTCAATAGTAGCACAGGCAGTACTACCGCTGCTACTGAGCACCACTGTCTGATTGAGGGACGTTTTAGGTAAGACGTGATCATCACTCTCAGTAAAGTTAATTCTACGAAAGCGGATAAACGACCGACAAGCCTGCGTCTGTTTCAAATCTTGAGGTGACCCAAGCATGCACTGCCCGTTTGTTTTTCGTTTGTATTGTCGATTGGTTCCCTCCAGATGATTTTACTTAAATTCGACTTAAAGGGCGATACAGAGCTATGCCCGGTGCCTTTCAAGAAATGCAGGGAAACATTTTGCAAAAAAAAAGAATGAATCTTCTGTAATGTCTCATGATTTCAGCGCAAAATTCACAGGGTAAACGAAAAAATTAAGTAAACGATGAGTGCCTGGTTGGTGCACAGATCGCAGGCAGTTCGCGTTCTGCATCAGCAACAAACAGTGAGCTGGATACATGCAGTCCGCTAACTGCTCCAGTGCAGGACAGTAATCTGTTGCTCGTTCTAATGTAAGCAAACTGAGTTGACATAAATAAATAAACCCTAAATAATACGCGCACGTGTTTATGCGGGGGGGAGACACTTACTCCCAAATTTCATGATTCATAATATTAATTTGCACTTCACAGAGGAGGAAAGCTCCAATTTCCAATTTTCTTTCCCTTCAGGGATGCAAGATCTTAGCCCCGTCTGGGCGCTTTGCAAAATTGTCTCCCAATAAATACGAAATGGCTGAGCAGGACTGGTAGAGTTATTACTACAATTCTTCTTAAAACAAAAAAGCAAAAATAAATCTTCTCTTACCTTGCGCAGGAAAGCCATTCGAGGCCGGTATTGTTGCCCCTGATTGAAGCTTCTGATGGTCATGTTTGTCTCTCTCAGGTTGCAATGTCTCAGGCTTTCAGAACGTACTGTATCCAAGTGATGCTCGGAGGAGGGCCAGTGCGCAGACTCGCCACCAGCCGGCGCACGCCACCCCCGGCTGCCAAGGCAACGGGCAGCGCGCGCCGGGGAGTCTGTGCACCAGCGGCCGGTAACCGCCCCCCTACCCGGCACATGCGCAGTCCCGCTGGCCCGAGGGAGAGCGACGGGGTGGGGCTGCCGAGCGCTCGGTGGCCAGAAGCGAGAACAACCCGCTGCATTTAAGGAGCGACGACGGCTCAGTGGTCATGTCACAGGACTACAAGTCTGGTGTTCCGGGATATGGCAAATGAAGTTCGAATTCAATAAAAAAAAATTCAGGTTTTTTAACCTCACTCTTGAGATTTGGGCGTTTATTGACAATCCCTAGTTGCTTTTTTGAAGGTGGTGGTGAGCTGCCATCTTGAACCATTGCAGTCATGTGCTGTAGTGGTCTGCACACATTAGGACCTACAGTGCTAATTAGAAAGGCACTTTAGAATCTTGACCCAGCCACACTGAAGGAATGGCGATATATTTTCCAAGTCAGGATGGTGAATGGCTTGGAGGGGAACTTGCAATTGATGGTGTTCCCATGCACCTGCTGCCACATTCCTTATAGGGCAGAGGTCATGGGTTTGGAAGGTGCTGTCAAAGGATCTTTTGTGAATTTCTGCAGTGCATCTTGTAGATAGCACACACTGCTGCCACTGAGCGTCAGTGGTGGAGGGAGTGGATGTTTGTGGATGTGATGCCAATCAAGCAGGCTGCTTTGTCTTGGATGGTGACAAGCTGCTTGAGTGTTATTGGAATTGCACTCATCCAGATGAGTGGGGAGTATTCCGACACTTGTAAGTTGTTGATGGTGGACAGGCTTTGAAGAAACATGAGGTGAGTTCTCAGTGCAGGATTCCCAGCCGCTGACCTGCTCTTGTGTCCACATTATCCATATGACTAGTCTAATTCAGTTTTTAGTTAATGGTAAACCCAGGATGTTGACAGTGAGGGATTCAGTGATGATAATGGCAAGGGGCGATAGTTTGATTCTCTCTCAGAGATAGTCATTACCTGACATTAATGTGGTATGACTGTTACTCGCCATTTATCATCCCGAGCCTGAATGTTGCCCGGGTCTTGCTGCAGTTGGATATAGACTGCTTCTACTTCGGACCTTATGATGGAGGAAAGGTCATTGACAAAGCAGCTGGAGATGAATAGCCCATGGACACAACTCTGAGGAACCCCTGCACAGATGACCTAGAGCTGAGATGACTGATCTCTAACAACCACAACCTCCACCCTATGTGCCAGGTATGACTCCGACCAGCGGGGAGTTCGCCTTTGATTCCCCTTGATTCCAGTTTTGCTGGGGCTCCTTGGTGTTACACTTGGTCAAATGCAGCCTTGATGTCAAGGTAAGTCACTGTTACCTCGTCTGTGGAATTCAGCTCTTTTGTCAAAGTTTTGGGCAAGACTGTAATGAGGTCAAGAGCTGAACGGCCTAATGGCAAACATGTTACCAATCTTGAGTGTTGTAAAATAAATCTGGTTCACTAATGTCCTTTAGGGAAGGGAACCTGCTGTCCTTACCTGGTCTGGCCTACATGTGATTCCAGACCCATAATAATGTGGTTGACTCTTAACTGCCTTCTGAACAACAAATGCTGGCCTAACTAATGATGTGCACATCCTATGAACACATAAAGAAATGGTTTCAGTGCAGTGGGAGGCCATTCAGCCCATTGTATCTGTGTCACTCTCTAAATGAACAATTGACTGCCTTTCTTAACTCTCCACACCCAGTTCCCTTTGCAGCCCTGCAAATTATTCCTTTACAAATAATGCTTTGACTGAGCTTGCCTTCATTCCAGACTTTAACCACTTGGTCTGTGTGAAAATGTTTTTCATCCCTCAAATTGCTTTTACTTTTACTTCTTTTGACAATTATTTTACATTTGTGCTCTCATTCTTGATATTAAGCACCAGGAAAATATTTTAATCCCGTGTAATTCATGTAAATTGCACAAAACGTGCACCTATTATGAAAATGCCTGAGTGGAAAATGAAGGATGGAAACGTTGCCAAATATATGGACCTATAATGCAGTAAACTAAAATGTCTCAAAGATGCTTACCAAATGAAATATTGACACTCAGCCACATGCGGGGGAATTAGGGCAATTGACTCATTGCTGGATTTTAAGGAGGGTTCAAGGTTAGAAACAAAGAGTGGTTGTCAATAGATATTTTTCAGATGGAGGTTTGTAGTGAAGTTAATTTTTATGATCTGGATCTTGTTGTACAAGGGACAATTACAAAGTTCACAGATGACATGAAACATGGGAGAACTGTAAACTGTGAGGAGGGTGGTGTGGAACTCCAGAAGGACGTTGATATGTTAGTGGATGGGTGGTTAGCTGATTGATGAGGTTCAATGCGGAGAAGTGTGAGATGATGCACTTGATAGGAAGAATACTGAAGGACCATATAAAATGGGGGTAAAATTTGAAAGTGGGTGCAGGAGCAGATACACTCAGATCCATTTGAAAAGATGTGAATGCATTGGAAATAGTGCAGAAGCGATATACGAAAAGGTTCCAGGGATGAGAAACTGAAGTTATGAGAAATAGATTGAAGAAGTTGGGACTGTTTTCCTTGGAAAGAAAGCAGCTGAGAAGACAGTTGGTTGAGATTTTAAAAATCATGAGAAGCTGTTCTCACTCTTAAAAGGAACAAGAGTGAGAGGAGATAGGTGCAAAGTGATACGCAAAAGGAGCAAGGATAATGTGATGTGAGAAAGAACTTTTTGACACAGGGAGTATTTAGGATATGGAAATGTGGTGGAGGCAGGTTCAATTAAATATTCAATAGGCATTGGATGATTATTTGAATAGAAATAGTGTGCAAAGGTAGGTAGAAAAGGAAAGAGATTGACGCTAGACAATCACGTTTGTTTGAAGAGCTGGTACAGGCATAATCTGTTGAATAGCCTCCTTATGCACCGTAACAATTTTGTGATTCTGTGAACTCTACCCGGAACGTGTGATCTGAAGAAGAATGGTAGTCAACCTGCACTGAATCAAGTAATCTTTGGGTCGGTTTCCTACCTTGTACTGCCTGTTAATCAGAGCAACACAAAACTATGCAAGCCACACCCTAATTCACATCAAGTCCCATTCACCCATCAGACTTGTGTTTGCTGACCTATATTAGCTTCTGGTCCAGCAGGGTTGCAGTTATTAAGTTTGAATCTTTGTGTATAAATCCCATTGACTCACTCTTCCCCACCGTGGAACCACCTCCAGCTTTCAAGATCCCTATTTTTCCCCAATTCTATCCTCTTGTTTGCCTCAGTTTTCATCGCTCATATACTGATGGCCATGCCTTCACTTGTGTCTGCAATTTCCTTCCTAATACGCTCCATGTCTCCCTTTAAGACTCTTCTCCTTTAGAACACTCAGTGGTTAATACTACTGCCTCACAGCGCCAGGGACCCGGATTTGATTCTACCCTTGGGCGACTGTTTGGAGTTTGCACATTCTCCCTGTGTCTGTGTGGGTTTCCTCCAGGTGCTCCGGTTTCCTCCTACAGTTCAAAGATGTGCAAGTTAAGTGGATTGGCTATGCTAAATTGCCCTGTAGTGTCCAGGGATGTGTAGTTTAGGTGGATTAGCCATGGGACATGCAGAGTTACAGGGATAGGGTAGAGGGTGTGTCTGATTGTGATGCTCTTCAGAGGGTCAGTGTGGACTCAATGGGCCAAGTGGCCTACTTCCACACTGTAGGGTTCTATAATTCTATGAACACTGCTTAAAACCTGCTAATTGTTATAGTTAGTGTGAGAGGAACGTACAGGTGGTTAGAAAGTTTGATAGAGAAAAAAATCCAAATCTACCATTTATATTTGTACTGTGTTACAATAGAAAATATGTATGAAAAATCATGTCCTATCTTGGGTACAGGTCAAATCAGAGCAGAAAATATTACCCATGCCAACCTTTAAAATAGCTATATGTGGATGTCAGCATTTCTGTTACATGCCTTTTCTGGGGTTAGCTGTTATATAATTTATTCAAGAATAACCTACAAGCAGATTCAATCAACTGTAATTTATGAATTACAAAGAGGGAGGCAGTGGTGCAGTGTTAATGTCACTAGATTAGTATTCTAGAATCCCAGGGTAATATTCTGGGACATGGGTTCAAATCTCACCATGGCAGATTTGAATCGATAAAAATCTGCAATAAAATGTAGGTTAATGGTCACCACTGTTGATTGTCACAAAAACCCATCTTGGGCATCTATGTGACTGAAGACCCACATAATGTGGTTGACTCTGAACTGTCCTCTGGGCAAATGGGAATAGTCAATAAATGCTGGCCTGGCCAGTAATGCTCTCGTACCATGAATGATTCTTATTATTAAAAAAAATTGCAACATGGAAAGAGACTATTAGACTGATCAGGGCCATGTTCCACATAAACCACCCCCTCAGTACCACCATTCTTAAAACCCTATTCCCGTAATTTACATTGAAACGTTATTTATCAAGAGTCTTTCTTGAGAATCAAACCAATTTAGTTGGAAAATGAAAAATCATAATGAAATGACAAACGTTGTTACAAAATATAATCGTTTTTAATCCATTGAACAGTTTATCATAAACAAATGCAGGCATTGTAAGGGATAGCTATATATAAATCTGACTTTGAGAAAGATATTAGCAGTAAAAGATTAGAGATTTAAGATTCTCAGACCAAACTGGTAGTAATTGTTCAATTGCTAGCACATAAAGTATGAATTTATTCATCAATTATAGGCCTTATTACCAACTCCACATTTATAGTACTTTATTTCTGTACTTCTCAAGAAAGAAAAATCAATGATAATCATCAATAGAATTGGTTGTGACTAGGCAGAAGGTATGTCCTTGTCTCCTTTGACTCATCCCTTAATTGGCTGCAGTGAT